TTACGGTTGCAATTTAAACCACAATCGCTGTAAACTCGATAATATTTTCGATCTTGCGACGATTAATCGACCACAGTAGCAGCTTTGAGATCTCACCGGTCGACCGGTGGAAACAGGAACGAACAGTCTTTTCAGTCCATTAGGGTATCCCCTGTTGTTCATAACTCGATTTTATCCACGGGTGTTCCATAGTTGGTAGGTTTCGCTTTCAGGGGAACAGGCAATCTTAACTCAGGATGCTGTAATGATAACAGGGTTTTTAAACCATCATTATTACTTTGTGCATCCGAGCACATGCGCACAAAAAGCCATTCTTTCGTTCACTTTCTTGTGAAACAACTTAGATTTCGACACCTTTTCCAAATGTCTGCTTGCTTAGCTGTCGTGTTTGCCGCGTTTAATTTCAACGAGTTTCTTTTTTTAAATCCAATTTGCCGTCACTTTTTATGGCTGTCAGTGTCATATTGCGTCGTCGAGATATTCCCATTGCGCAGGCAGGCGTTTGTGGTTCACATTTTTCGTAAAAACAGACCGAATACTACTTGTCCTATCTGCATTTATCAGCCATACTTCAACCCATAGGCCAATAATGCTGTTTCGCTTTTTCACATAGACAATTACGCAATCAGAGCACCTAGATAATTTCTCCCGATGTTCAACCTAAGTCGCAGATTATTTGCGTGTATTCATAACAACACTCTAGCTGAGCCTACCACACCATTATTAATTACCTTTGTTGTTGGTCGGGAGTATTCTTCCGAGAAATCTCAAAGACCAGATTTGCGTTTGAGGTCAGCTTTTACTTCGTCTACTAACGTCTGCAGTTGGTCACCTCAGCAGTCAGGGTTGGATTCTGCAAGCTGACATCTTAAATAATTCAACTATCGTGTCAATGCAGCATTTCCCTGGACTTATGACCCAACATATAAGGAAACTGCCTTTTTCGACCGACGATTTAGTTGTTAGTAGTCGCTTGTGGCTCGATATTACCAAAATGGGTAACCATTGCTTCAAATTTTTCGCGATTTTGTGATTGGTAGCGGATCTGAAATGCTCAAACCATTCTCTTTTATAACGACGGAGACCGAATACCGAAAGTCCAAGAACCGCTTCCATGTCTTGACGAACTGTGTCGAGTCAGGTCTTGAGTTGATTTCCTGTTCGACGCCACCGGCTTAGAGACAGTGGTTAGTGATTGTGGAAACCACGCGATCAGCACTGCTTCGCATGATGTTATTCCATACTCTATCCATTTAATAGTAACTTCGCTCCAATGTGTTCGAAACTGTTCTAGTCAGATATACAACCCATCAACACTGATTTAGCAATCCAGTTCACCGGCAGCATCACATCCCGAAGATCACCAAAACTTGGCGCCCAAGGGACATTATTTCCAACGTCATCCAAATCACTCACTAATCTCTTTAGTGCAAGTGCTACACCGTAAAAACGGTCAATAACTGTTTAATATTCAGCATATAAAGCCGTTCGGCAGGTTGAAATCCTCTATGTGCTTCTGCCAGAGTGTGATCTTGATTAAGCCATTGACAATAAATTCCGCATTCTCATCGCGAACAGCGTTACTCGTTACGCGTAACCTACCACTGATTTGACGAATAAGTTGGTAAAGTTTATGAATAATACCTACATTTAAAGACGGTTCAAGGGAGATCGCCACTTTGACTCAGTAATTATTGTCGCCATCTATAATAAACTTTTCCGTCAGTTTCCGAAGTCCACAAAAAATCCACCTTTGAAAGAATTGTCTAAACAGAATCTATAGGGTTGCTCGAGGTTATTTAGTCATCACGGCACAGCTACATGAATCCGAGATTTTTGTCAGCTACTTCGTGAACTGAGGACGTCAATGATGAACATTCACTGCCGTCTTCTATTTAAACTGGCCGCAAAGTAATACCAGATTTCCCTGTTCGGAACCTGGGCCGTACCGGGGTTGTCGTACCTTGTACAAGACATTTTTGGTACCAATGAGTGCTGCTCTTTCTGGCGTATGTGAACCTGAAAATGACACGAGCACAGATTAAACAGAATTTTACAGAACCTAATTGCGCTGTGTTTTCCGCGGCTCGATATGTTGACTAGGACGCCTTCGATGGCTTTTGCAGCTGGCGTTCGTTTAATCTACCCCATTCACGAACTGCAAAAGATTTCGAGTTTTTGATATTTTTCAAAAATTTTTTTTTGTATCAATTTCTAATGCCGAAAAAAGTTTATTTTAACATAGATAGCAATAACAGTGTAAGGTATTGTCTTTGATGATGTATCCGCGATGGAATCGAAGCGTCAGGCGAATAAAATTCTCGTCCCATCGATCACATCTACTTCTTTTCAATATAAGGTGCATATAATCCTCCTTGTTAGACTGTTAAAATAAACAGTTACTTAGTGAACAGAGTGACTTCATAAGCCCGTATAAGTTTGCTCCGCTTTATTCAAGGATTTAAGTAAACAAACAAGTTTTATCACGTTTAAATTTTTAACGTTGGGCGAGTCTTCGCACCCATCACTCCTAACAGAAAAGATCAGACAGTTTGTGAATTTCCCTTCCTTCGTACTCAAGACGACCACAGGCACTCATAAGGTACACACCAGCACCGACCTCACATCCCTAGTTGTGGCTCTTCTGCCTCTATGTAATATAACACATTTTAACACATTTGGCTCGATGGCAGTTTAAACCATATATGATTTGATTCTACTTTGAAAAAGTACGTATGATTTACCAAGCATTAAAAGCGCATTTAAAATCAGCTAGATTTTTCCATACAAATTTAGCTCAAAGTAGCCTAAACAGCGTGCATGAGTTGCTAAACATTCCTTCAGCTTACCTTTCAGTGTTTTCTTGCGATTGTTATTGTGAAATGCGTCCCCACAAAGATCGTACTTTACGAATACCATGCCTTTGAATCGCCTGCTCCTCCTGTAGATAGGATCGAGTTCCTGTATACTTCCTTTGTTTTATGATTAAAAAAATACCCAACGATCATTAAATGCTTTCTTGAGAGCCCTTGTTCGCTTGAGAAAATTATCCTAACGCGTTACTTCCTAGGCTCACAAATCAAAGTTGCGAAAAGTATATTTTTCGAAAACCTGCAGGTTTTTTCAAAAATGTCTATTCAAGTTACTGTTTGGAAACCAGCTGTGAAATGCGCACATTAAAACTAGGTACTATGGGATGACACTGCATAGATACCATTGTAAGTACGTGGTAATTTGACTCGTCTTTCATATAGTTTTCAGAAGGTTTTGAAACAATATACAGGGTGTCCCAAAAAAATGTATGCACATTTTAAATGATTGCAAACGTGGTGTTTACTACAATTTTATTATTTCAAAATTTTAAAAACATCAACAAGTATCACTTTATTGTTTTTTTCGCTGCATATTCTCAACCTGACGTTCATTTTGATCCAGACAC